AATATTCTTTAAATCTAAACTTTGTATCATGTGGGGAAAGAAATACAGAGATATTTGGTGGTCAGAGGGGCAGACCATATAGGACATGGCTGTCCAGTGTTGTTATGTACTGTCGAGCTGCCTGTGACTCAGAGCAACCTGATGCACACTAGCTCTGATCTCTGTCCTTCCCTGAGTCCATCTCACTATCTCTGACACACCTATTGCCTTGGCCACTGTGTCAATTAATCTCATCCAGGGTCTTCCTCCTCCTGTACACAAAAAATTGAGTTCTCGCTTAGGTAGTTTAACTGCCTAACTAGGCTCTATATTTGTACCTGTTCTCCTTCCCTCAATAAATCAACAATCTAAATAAAATAAGTAAAAAGGCAACTATGTCCCTAACATAGTCAATAATTTTATCCTGAAAATAAAAAAGATAAATTTACAAGACAGTATTAGATAAAGGAGAATGCTAAAAGATAATAACAATTTCTTTCAAATAGACAAAACTTTTCTTTTTCCTGAAATTGATTTAACTTCAAAGGAAAAGAAATTCTTTGGTCAAAACAAAAACCAACCAAAACCCACACAATCTCATTACTAACGTGTTGGTTCCACCTTATAAAAACCATCCATGAAGTTTCCAAAGCTATAAATCCTAACAGGAGAAGACTATCCGTCATTCTCCCCCAGAGCCACTGGTAGATTCAAATCTCCAGTAATGTGAAACCTTTGGCTTAGCACTACTTATTTGTAATATGTACTTCAATATAAATGTCTACATACTAATCTAGAAAATAATTGGATATTTGTGATTATTGATAATAAGTTTGTAATTAAAGAATGTAAGAAGATCAGAAGTGATTCCAGTCAGGAATGCAAGAGTGAAGTTACCTCCAATGTGCAAGTTTTCAACATAAGAAAGCATAATCTAACAGTATAGTTTTTGAAACAATGCAAAAGATTTGCACTGCACAAATGCACTGTACATTGTACAAATGGAATTCCAACTCAAAACGTTAGAAATAGAAATTCCATTTGTCCAAGAAATACCACTACTAGGAATATACACTAAAGAAGGCAGGACCACAGCTCAAATAGATATACACAAACCCATGTTTACTGCAGTGTTAATCACAACAGCAAAGAGATGGAAGCAGCCCAACTGCCTACCAAAATAAAAAACAAAAACAAAAACAAAAAACCCCAAAACACAAATGGATAGAAAAACTGTGGTACAGTTTTAAAAATCCTGAACCCATTTAATTTTTATAATGTCTAATGGAACAGCTGAAATTTTGTGGGCTGCAACATAATTGTTTGGAATTGTTCATTATCTGGGAGGCTGGGCTGTATGAGGAGAAACATCATGATTGGAGGAAGATTCATCAACAATCTGCTTTATGCAGGTAACACAACCCTGCTTACTGAAACTGAGGAGGACTGCAGAGTCTTTGAAACTGCAGAAGGTCAAGGACTGCAGCCTTCAATATGGATTGAGGCTCAATATCAAGAAAAGATTCTCAACAACTGGCCAATTGGCAGCATCATGATAGTTGGTGAAAGATTGAGATTGTTAACAGCTTCAGGTTGCTTGACTCCACAAGCAACACTCTTGTCATCAGCAGACAAGAAATTAAAAGATGTATTATGATTGGAAAGTCTGCTGTTAGAGACTTCTCCAAACTGAAGAGCAATGATGCCAGTCTGGAGACTAAAGTGTGCCTGATACAGTCCATGGTCTTTGCAATCACTTGCTATGCGTCAGAGAGCTGGACAATGACTAGGGATGATAGTAGGATAACTGATGCTCTGAGCTGTGGTGTTGAAGAGTATTGAATCTACCATGGACTGCTAAGAAAATGAACAGGTTTATCCTACAGAGGGTTAAACCAGGCTCCTCCTTGGAAGCAAGGATTCTAAAGCTTCATCTGATATACTCTGGACATGCTGCAAGGAGGGGCCAGTCCTTGGAGAGGGATGCCACACTTGAGAGGGTATAGAGACAGCACAGGAGAGGAAGACCCTCTATGAGGTGGACTGATTCACTGACAGGGGTAACAGAGGTAGGTGTGTTGGATTGGCACAGGATAGAGCACGGTTTAGGGCTGTTGTACATAGGGTTGCTATGAGTCACAGGTGACTTGATGGCACATAACAGCAACAACAACTAAACAAATAACCAGACATTCCACCCGACCCTCAAAGGTGTCATATTTTGTAGGAATATTCTTCCAAGTTGTACAGCACTCTTCTGTTAATTCGCTGTAGTGAGGGAATCTGGGTTTGCTGTGATGCTGAACCTTGTGCCCCTTGGGTAACAAATGCTATAATGGTTGCCCATAGTGGACAGTGTTTGGTGGAGCTCCCAGTTTAAGACAGGTTTCGAAGTAGGAAGGACATCCTAAACCACATGCCTCTGGAAACTCGATGAACTTGGAGAAATGACATTAGTTACAGAAAGGCTTCAGGTCTTCTGTTCATATGGTCGCTATGAATCATGCTCGATTCAACAACAACATGCAAATCTACTTGTTACTAAAGTAATCCTGTGAGCTCACTTATCTGCAATTGCCCTTTAAAGGCAGTACTGAAGACCAATTTCTATTCTAATCCTAAAACTGAAAATCCACAAATTGGAATAAAAGAAAATAAAAATGGGTGGAAAAAGAGTTCTTCCAAAGAATTCATTTAGAAAAGAGAATTCTATGTCTATACACTTTTCCTGGAGTTATCACAAAATACAAATTAGTCTTTCATACACTTTATCCCTTTTAATCATCCTGTATTTTTATATATTTGGTTTATTTGGGTGGTTTTTTTTAATCAGTTACGCATTTTACACATATATAATTCTGAATATTTATTATGCTAGACAATATTCTAAATACTAGTAATTACCAATAAGCAAGATTAAAGATGTCACTGTCATCCTGGAATTTATAAAGCACAAGATGCAGATGTTAAACAATGTTGTAAAGAAAGACGAAAATAAATATTTAACTTTATAGTATAGAGTATACTTTTATAGAAATGTATGAAAACAGTTTTGTCCCTTAGGTAGAAAAACTAAGGCAGTTGCACTGGACTCCACACAGGACAGAGATTGTTCTTTTTACTTTTTCTGTGTATATACTTGCTCGCCCCCTGTATACATTATATATACCAGTCTTTAAGTATATATATTTCAGCAAATTCTCCAAACTAGAATGACATGAGACTATATGAATTACACTAAATCTACACTCTTATAAGGACAGACTTAAAGAAGGAATAATTATATACAAACACTGTATAGGAGGGAGCTCTTTATAGATAAATACTATACTCATGATCTACACTTAAAAAGATACTGCCACTGAGTGGAATATGCCTCAGAGCAACCCTATAGGGTAGAGTAGAGTGGTCCCAAAGCCAGGTGGATTGACATGGTGACTACTGCAACAGGCTCTTCCTTGTGTGTCAGGTAGTGTGAAGATGGCGCACGGTAGAGCAGGGTCCAGATCTTTGTTCATAGGGTCTCTATTAGTCTTACTTGACTCAATGGCACTTAACAACAACAACAACAACAACAACAAATCTTTACAGAAACAGATTGAAGCAGCTAGTAAATTCAGTCCATCAACCTTTCATTAGGCCCAATGCCTAATACACAGCCACACCAGGATTCCTATAGTCTACAGTTCTTATTTTGTACTTTTGAGACAGAACTCATAACTGACACTCCAGTGGGTTTTCAGAGCCTATAAGTGTATGGGAGGAGACTTTGTTCAGAAAGACTTTCTCCATCTTTCTCCAGAGGAGCAGCTGGAAATTGAACCATCTGCCTTTAGGTTGGCAGCCCAACTCCTGGACTAACCAGTACATCTCCTTATGTGCAGTTCTCAAATGCTAACAGTTGGAAAGCTGGCAAATGAGCTTCATAAGAATCACCTAGAAACTACTAATAATAGAACGTTCCAGTCATCATTCCATCATTCTTAGCAATTTCAATTTAGTAGCCCTCAGGTGAATTTTTATAATATTCTGACATTCTGTTAGATCTTAAGACCTTAATCACACAGAGGCTTGAGAGTCATTATTTAATTATTCCATGTTTCTTGTAACATTCAAATAATTATGAGTGTCTGTGAATACAAAATAAATGGCTTCCGTGTGTGTGTGTGTGTAATTTGAGGAAAGCTATGTTTTTGCTTATACTTAAGCATTATCAAGAAGATTCCACATAGAGACAGAAGGACAAACTATGTGACAATAGTTTAGAAGAGGTAGGGTTTGAACTGGTGGTGGGATGACAGATGGTTTTATGCAGTACACAAAATTGTATATGATACATACAATTAATTCATTTGGTATGTAGTCTTACACTAAAAAACACTGAATCACATGAGAAAAAAAGAGAACTATCTTTTCATTTTCAATCTTTCCTGTTTACTTCAAGAAGCAATCCTCACTCAGCTGTTGATACATCTTTTACATATACCATTGCTTTTCCTTTTTTTTTTTTTTTTTAACAATAGCATCCCTGAGAGCCCTTAGCAAACAAAAGCCATCTATCTAAGATTTAGACTATACATCTAAGGATTAAAATTCACTTGAAGCATGTGCTACTGATTTTTCATTTACAATGATCAGAGAAATAAAAAGTCCATTTTTAAAAAAGAATATAAATGGTGTGTTGTTATGGCAAAAATTATGATGCTCTGTGACTTAAATTTAGAAAAATCACTACATTATTAAAAGTAACAATCAACCCCTTACTCTTAAACACACATACACAAATAATTAACTAACTGAATGATAAAACATAAAATATTTATAGGAAGATATTGAATGAATAGCTCCTTCTCCCATTAGACAAAACAGCCAAAATAATTAATTTTGATATGACAAGTATTATTTCATATAATAGCTAAATAAGTATTTCAGTCAGACAATATATAAATGGAATGTATTTATGGTCTAGTCCGAACATCAGGACAACTATAATTCATTAATTTATTATCTATTCCACACACCTTATAATCCTTCGTTCTGTAGCAGCCATGATGAGAATGATCTGGAAAAGGATATAAAAAATAAAGCATAAATATTCTATAATAAAGGAAATTTATTCATTACTATCTTGAGGTTTTGTGGTAAAAAAATCTGTGCTGAAACGGAAAGGCACACAGTTTAAATCGGCCAAGTAGCTGCACTGCTAGAGAAGGGATGCACAGTCTCCTCCTGTGTGACATACTGCCTCAGAAAACTCGCTGAAAGGTCACTTATCAGTCAGTTCTGCCTTCATGGCAAACAACAACTGCTTCAAAATCTGCTGCCAAGGACCTCTCCAAAGTGCTAAAGGTCAATGATGTCATTTTTAAAGACTAAGGTGTGCTGGACCAAGCTATATTGTTATTACTGGGTGTCATCGAGTCCAGTATGAGGGATAGTGACCCTATGAACAACATATCTGAATCCTGTTCTGTGCCATCTTCACACTTCCTGGCACACCTGAGCTCACTACAGCAGTCATCTGGTTGAAAGTCTTCATCTCTTTCTCAGACCTTCCATTTTTCCAAGTATGATGTCCTTCTCCAAGAAAAAGCTTCTCCTAACAATATATCTGAAGTATGAAGACAAAGCTTATCATCTTTGCCTCCAAGGAGCAATCTGGCTACACTTTCTCCAAGATATGTTCTTTTGGCAGTCTAAGCATCAATTCTTCTATAATCCTTATTCATTGTCCAGCTCTCAGATGCATAACAAATGGCTGAAAAGACCATGGCCTGAATTTGATGCACCTTAGTCTTCAAATTGCTATCATGTCTTCTCAAGTATTTGGAGAAGTCACTGACTATAGACTTTCCCAATGCAATATATCTCCTAATCTCCTGACTGGCTGGCACCAAGTGTGTTGATTGTGAATCCAAGTCAGATGAAATTGTTGATAACTTTAATATTTGCTCCATTTATCATGATGTTTTCTATTGGTCCAATGGTAAGAATTTTTCTTTTTTCACATTAAGATGTAAGTCATATTGAAGGCCATATTTCCTGATCTTCTGCAGCAAGTGCTTCAAGTCATCCTCACTTTCAGCAAGCAAGGTTATGTCATTTTTCCACATGGAATTCAGCTTCTTGAGTAATTTGCTCAGCATGCAGACTGAACAGGTATGGAGACAGAATACAACCCTGGAGGATAGCTTTCTTAATCTTAAACCATGTACTATCAACTTGCTCTGTTTGTACTACTTTCACATGAGCACAATTAAGTTATCTGGGACTTCCATATTTCTCAATGTTAGCCATAATTTGTTCTGATCCACTCAAACAACTATGCCTTAATAAAATATAAATAGGCATTCTTCTGATATTGTTTCTTTTCAGCCAGGATCCATCTGACATAAGCAATGACAATCATAGCCTCTTGTAAATCTTGCTTGAACTCTGGCAGTTTCTTATCTATGTACTGTTTGGGCCATTTTTGAATGGCCCAAGCTGTATTCTCTTCAATTACTTCCTTTTTATTTGAAAGTCGGAAAATACTAAACTGACACAAACCATACAAGACCAGATGGTTTACAAGTGAATTTTATCAAACATTCACAGAACTGTCACCAATTCTACATAAACTACTTCAGAAAATAGAAAAAGATGGAATTCTCCCAGACTCATTCTATGAAGCAAACATATCCTTGATACCAAAGCCAGGAAAGGACACTACCAAAATAGAAAACTATAGGCCAATATCTGTTATGAACATAGATGCAAAAATCCTAAATAAAATACTTCCAACAGTACATCAAAGAAATAATTCACCTTGACCAAGTGGGATCCATAACAGGTATGCAAGGATGGTTCAACATAAGAAAAATAATTAATGTAATTCATCACATAACCAAAACAAAGAAGAACCACATGATTCTATCAATTGGTGCAGAAAAGTCCTTTGACAAAAATCCAACACCCTTTCCTGATTAAAACACTAAGCAAAATAGTTAGAGGGGAATTTCTTCAACATAGTAAAAACTATTTATGCAAATGCGAAAGTCAACATTGTTCTCAATGGAGAGAGGTTAAAGGCATTCATTATAAGAACAGGAACTAGGCAAGGATGCCCACTATCACCTCTCTTATTCAATATTGTATTGGAAGTCTCAGCAATAGCAATTAAGACAAGAGCATAAGAGGTATCCAAATTGGCAAAGAAGAGGTAAAATTATCTCTCTATGCAGATGATATGATAGTATACTTAGACTCAGCAAGAAAACTATTGGACATAGCTGACCAATTTAGCAATGTAGCAGGATACAAGAGCAACATACAAAATTCAGCTGGATTTCTCTACAGTCACAAAGAGAATACAGAGCTGAAGCTAAGAAAAACAATATTCTTCACAATAGTTAATTACAAGGTTATAAATACTTGGGACTAAATCTAACCAGAAGCACAAAGGACCTGTTCAAAGAAAATTACAAAACATTACTGCAAGAAACAAAGAGAGACCTGGAGAAGTGGAAGAATATCCCTTGCTCATGGATAGGAAGACTCAGTATTGTGAAAATGGCATTACTACCAAAAGCAATTTACATGTTCAATGCAATCCCAATACAAATACCAATCCCATTCTTCAACAAGATGGAAAAGGCAATCTCCAGTTTCATCTGGAATGGAAAGAAGCCCCGAATAAGCAAAGCATTCCTTAAAAATAGAAGAAAGTTAGGAGGCATCTCACACTCTGATTTCAAATGCTCTACTACACTGCCATAGTGGTTAAAAACAGTGTGGTACTGGTACAATGACAGATACATAGATCAATGGAGTAGAACCGAGAACCCAGAAATCAGCCCATCTACCTATGGTCAACTGATTTTTGACAAGGAGATAAAATCAGTTAAGTGGGGAAACAACAGCCTTTTTTATCAAATGGTATTGCCAAAATTGGAAAACTATCTGCAGAAGACTCAAGGAAGATCCACACCTTACTCTATACACAAAATACAACTCTAGGTGGATCAAGGACCTAGGACTAAAACCAAGGACTATAAACTTCATTAAAGAAAATCTTGGAAGAACTTTAGAAGTCCTAATCCACAATATAAGCAGTCTTCCAAGCATCCTTAAAAATCTCCAACCAGGAGAAGATAAAATAGATGAATGGGACCTGATAAGAATCAAATTCCTATGCAGATCCAAAAACTTCTCCAAATGATCGAAGACAAGATAAGTTGTTGGAGGATGTCAAATGTATCATCCAGGAAGAATGCAAATGGTCATTACAAAGACAGAAGTGGAAGAAAAGGCCAAAATGGATGTCAGAAGAAACTCTAAAGAATGCACTGGAGCATAGAGAAGCCAAAGTATAAGGAAGAATTTAAGATACTAAAGACCTGAACAGAAGATTCCAAAAGGCAGCTCCGAACAACAAAGTAAAATGTTACAATGAAATGTGTGAGGAGCTAGAGTCGGAAAATCAAAAGGGATGAACTCGTTCAGCATTTCTTAAGCTCAAGAAACTGAAGAACAAATTCAAACCTCGAGTTGCTATAATCAAGGATGCTGTAGGCAGAATATTAAATGATCCAGGGGGTTTTAAAGGAAGATGGAAGGAATATACTGAGTCATTGTATCGAAAGGAATTGGCAGATACAGAAGAATTCAATGAAATAACATTTGAGCAAGAGCCTATGGTGATGAAGGAGGAAGTTCAAGCTGCTTTGAAGGAAATGGCAAAAAATAAGGCCCCAGAAATAGATGGTATACCAATTGACATATTTCAGCTAACAGATGCTGTCCTGGATGTGCTCACCAAGTTGTGCCAAGAAATCTGGAGAACACCCACTTGGCCAACTGACTGGAAGAGATCTATATTTGTTCCCATTCCAAAGAAGGGTGATCCAACTGAGTGTGGAAACTACAGAACACTATTGATTTCACATGCAAGCAAGATTCTGCTGAGGACTATCCAAAAAGGACTGGAACAGTACATCAGCAGAGAACTGCTGGAAGTCCAGGCTGGGTTTAGAAGGGGTTGTGGTACTAGGGATATTGTAGCTGATGTTAAATGGATCTTAGCTGAAAGCAGGGAATACCAGAAGAATGTTTGTGTTTCTTTGATTATGCAAAGGTGTTTGACTGTGTGGATCATAACAAACTGTGGCTGAATCTGAGAAAAATGGGAATCCCAGAACATTTAATCGTGCTAATGTGAAACCTATACTTAGACCAAGAGGCAGTCATCAGAACAGAGCAGGGTAACACTGCATGGTTCAAAATTGGGAAGGGTGTACGCCAGGGATGCATGCTGTCTCCATATCTTTTCAATCTGTATGCAGAGCAGATTATCAGGGAGGCTGGGCTCTATGAGGAGAAATGTGGGCAATCTCTCGTGTGATTAAATGCCTATGAGTTGGTTCCAACTCAACAGTAAACATCAATGACTATAAGACCAGATAAGTTGTGGTATGATATCAAGGATATCATCCATGAAGAAAGCAAAAGGAGAAAGAAAAAACAAAAATAGGTGTCAGAAGAGACTCTAAAAATTGCACTGGGGTATCAAGAAGCCAAAACAAAAGAAAAACTTGTCAAAGTAAAAGAGCTGAACAGAAGATTTCAAAGGGCAACTCAAGAAGACAAAGCAAAGCATTATAATGGAGTGTGCTGAGAGCTGAAACTGGAGAATAATAAGGGAAGAACTCACTCTGCATTTCTCAAGCTGAGAGAACGGAAAAAACAAATTTAAGCCTTGTGTCACAATACTGAGAGATGCTATAGGCAATATATTGAATGACCCAGAAAGCATCAAAACAAGATGGAGGAAATATACAGAATCACTATACAAGATAGAACTGATTGACACTGAGAAATTTCAGGAAGTACAATATGAATTGGAATCAATGGTAATAAAGAATGAATTAGAGGCTGAATTGAAGACTTTGGCAAAAAATGAGGCCCCAGGAATCAATGGAATACAAATTGACTTGTTTCAATTAAGAGATGCAGCCTTGGATGCACTCAGCAGTCTATGCCAGGAAATTTGGAGGACAACTGTCTGGCCAATAGTTTGGAAGAGGTCCATATTTGTTGCCTATCCCAAGAAAGGTGAT